ATAGAAGTATAATTGACTTTTTGTATTGACCTTGTGTCCTATGACCTTGCTAATCTCACTTACTAGTTTTAGTAGCTTTTTAAAAAATATATATTCTTTAGGAGTTTCTATGCAGAGTTGTATCAACTGTGTTTTGTTTTTTCCTTTTAAATAGATTTGTCATTTCTTTTTTCCTTTTTTTTTTTTTTTGCTTTATTACACTGGCTAGGATCTGCCTGTTCTTCTACTTGATCTACTTTGTGTTCTGACCCCAACCATTTGAAAGCAAGTATCACCAGCAGTATTTATGTAGCTGAATACAGTGAATACTTTTCTGTCCTCATCTTAGGTATAATAAATAGCATTTGACACTATTATTAATCATTACATAACTTCTTTAAGTTATTTCCTTTCTTGGGTTCTCCTGGTTTTCTTTCTACTCATCTGGCTGTTCTCTCTCAGTATCCTTTGCTGCTTTATCTTCCTTTGTTAAACCTTAGAATCAGAATTTGTAAGCTGTGGACTCAAATGTGGTTTGCAGAAACCAATTTTTTTTTTTTTTTTTGGCACAATGTTTTAACACTTTTGAAATAGAATACTTTAAAGTGAACAAGCAGTGCATAGTTAGCCACAAATCCCATTACTCTCCAATTCCAGGATGGATTACTCCATTTGTCTTACCCCCATACCCCTATACACATTGAGTTTTTAACCTCTGCTTGAAACGTTGGAATGTTTGTGGTCTCATCCAGATCCAGGACTTTAAATACATCTGTATACTGATAAATCCCAAAGATGTATCTCAAACTTTTACTTCTCCTGCAAAATTTGTTTGTATTTGTCAGAATGCTTATATGTTGTCCCTCCCCACATCTGTCAAAAATATTTAGAGATTTGTTGGCCTTTTTATATTGATTTAAAAGGTATAACACAAAGAATATTTGATGATTGAAATGTAGCAAGAAAATACATAATGCAGAAAGTAAAAAAAGGTTGAACAGATTATTTTAAAAATTCAGTTTATAATGGGAAATTATAAGAATATGTTTGCATAGGGGAGGAATGATTCAGTAATGAGAGAAAAATGGATGAAGGAAAGTGGGAGAATCACATAGGAAGGAAATCACTGAAAAAAATTGGAAGGAGATGGGAAGGGCTTTGAGAGGTAGAGTGACTTTTTTTTTTTTTTTTTTTTTTCAAGTCATAAGATAGAAATCTGGTAATGGGGGTTGTAGATCTGTGGTTGAAGACAAGGGAGTTCCTCTCTCGTGCTGTACACTTATTGAAGGTCATCAGTTGAAAATTAGGAACATTCGATAGTTCTGAGGAGAGAAGGTATGAAATCGCAACTCACCAGGAAAATGTAGTAGGATTTCCAGGCAATACTGAGTGCCCTTCAGGTTTAGTGACATCAATTTAAAGACTGGCTTAGTCAGTGTGGGATGTGATTTCTCCAGCAATGTGCTGCTGATTGGATTCACGCAAGGGAACGGTTCCATCAGTGTTAACTTTTGCTAAGCAAATAGGATAATGGGAGAAAAAGGCAAGAAAGTTAAGGGTGTTTGCAAAGCAGTGATTATAAGGATGACTGAACTCTCAGAGGGGCAAAGATGGAAATACAGATAAGAAAGGAATAAAGACAAGTATAAATGTGATAAGATAGTTGTCTCCATAAAGTTAAAAAATTATTGCAGTAGAGGAACTAGAGAGTAAGTGATCTGTGGAGATCAGAGGATGGGCAGGAAAACTAATGGATACATCTGTCACTATTAGGGAGGAGTAAACTATGGGATACAGGCTCAAACCATGGTTAGAGAGGCTAAGAAGATGAGTCAGGGGACCAGTGATTTTTGCTTTAGTGAGTCACAAAATGATTGGAATTCTCCTGCTTTAAAACCTTTTGTTGGCTCACTAACCTATCCCCTATAGAATGGAGTGCCCTTAAAATAAAAAATGTAAAATTTAATCATTCTTGTATTCCTTTTATTTTCAAGTATCAGAAAGGCGAAAAGCATGTTTCCAGTAGCAATTTGATGTTATAGAGCTGATTAATTTATTCAGTGTAGAAGGGATTGAGGTATTTTGGAATGTCAAAAGTCTGCTATTCCATAAGTGTAGTGTTAATATTTTAGAATATTTCTCTCTAAATTTTTTTCTTTGCATGTATTTGTATAACTGATATTATGTAGTGGATAGTGGGTATCTTTTTTCTTAAACTTGCTATATGAACATTTTATTAATGAATTTTAAATATTGGAAATACCTCTTCAAAGACAAAAGTCTTGTTAGAAAATGTTTGTGAAAATATTTGTAAATTGTAATGCATTTTCTTTTTATGGATTCTGGGCCACCTGGGAATTAAAAGATTCCAATATTCTCTTAGAAACCTTTGAGTTGATCAAGGAAGAAGAGTCCAGTAGTGAAATACTTACAAAATAATGAAAATACATTATATATCTAAAGTTGCTATCAATATAGTGCCACTTTCTCATGTTTTTATTTAAATAAATAAAGCAAATTGAATGAATTAATTATTTAACCAAATATTTTAGATAAAGAATGAAAAACTTGTAATCCCAGCACTTTGGGAGGCCAAGACAGGGAAATTACTTGAGTCTGGGAGTTCCAGACAAGCCTGGGCAACATAGTGAGACCCCTGTCTCTACAAAAAGTTTTAAAAAATTAACTGAGTGCCTGCCAGTAGTCCCAGCTACTCAGGAGACTGAGGATGACAGGATCACTTGAACTTGGAGGCAGAAGTTGCAGTGAGCTGAGATTGTGCCACTGTATTCTGGCCTGGTTGACAGAGCAAGACCCTGTCTCACACACACAAAAAAAGAAAAATTGCAAATGGAGGAAACATGGTAAATAGGAAAACAAGTTATAAAATATAATACAGTTGTTAAATTCAAGAAATAGAGAAAAAATAGATATATTCCTAATAAATACAGTTAAGAAAAAAAAAATCTCAATGAAATAGACTTTCTACAAAACTATCAGTATTTTATAAAGGTAGACTAGGATTACTAAGGAGGAAATTGAGAAAATTATGATAGTACCAGCTATCAAAAAGGTTTTTGGAACTAATAGATTCACTGATAAATCTTTTAAATTTTTAAAGAAAATTGAAGTTGCTTATATAAAATAAATACTGAACAATGTTATGAAACAAGAAAATGAGGGCATTCTAAAATGCTGATTAATCTTAGTTATGACCATATATGTGTGAAAATGTTAAAGAATATGCTAGCAAACATTTAAACGTCTGCTCTACCACTACTGTGTAAGAAATGTGAACATGTTTCAATATAAAGAAATTTATTGACTTGGGAGGCTGAGGTGGGAAGCTCAAGTGCTTGAGCCCAGAGTTTGAGTCCAGCCTGGGCAACATAGCAACAACCTGTCTAAAAAATAAAAATAAAAAAAATATTGCCATCCTTTATCAGGTTTAATTGGGGAAAAAGATGCTATAATGTAGTTTGAGCTAATTTAGTGTTCATTTCTAATCAAATTATTTGAAAATGAAAATACTTTCATATCATGATAGAATATACTAACTGGTATTAAATCCAAAAGGAAAATACCTTTTAAACTTGTCACCATTAGTATTTAATTTGACTTTAATTCAGCATTGTTATTTAGTGTGATCTGTAGATTGGTGCCAGTCCATGATTTGCTTGTTACTGGTCTGTCAAGAGATAAGTATAGAAATTGAGAGGAAGTGTTTAGAAACTTTTATAGTAGTTTGATAGAGTAATTTCATCTTTTTTTAGACCTAGAAATCAAACATTTGGGCTGGTGTTTTATATCTTGGGCTTATATTAAGACTTTTAAATTTCATTTTTCTAGTTATTTTTACTAGTTTTAAAAATCAGCTTATTTGTCATTAATTTTTGTTAACATTTTAGTAAAGTGTCAGTCTGTGATGAATTGGAAGTAGGAGAAACTGGTCCTTCCCCATAAGTAGTCTAAGAAGCAGTTCTGTGAATCTTGCCACTAATTTAAGAGTAAATAGTTGGAGGAGACAAATGTATCACATTCATGGGTGATATAATAATGTTATATATTGAGAAGAGCCAGGGATCCTTTAGAAACTAGTAGAGCTATAAAAATTCAGTCAAGTGAATTCCCAACTTAAAGCTGGAGTGAATACTTCAGCTTTAGGTTTGGAATATTTTTTTCAGTTTTATTATTATTTTATTATTATCGAGTTGTAAAATATTATGTAGAACCAAATCTATTGATTTAATGATGAGACCTAACAAAAAATATAGTGGAAATGCCAGTGATTCTTCCACACTTCAAGAGATGTGTAGTAGGACCCACGAATGGGCCCAGCCCTCGCGTGCACCATGTTTGGCCCCTTCTAGCGTTGCCGCCGTGAAGCAAGTGGCTCAACAGCTCTGGCTGAAGGCCGGACTCAACCATGTAAATGTTTCCCAGGCAGCTGCAGACTTGAAACAATTCTGTCTGCAGATTGCTCAACATGACTCTCTGCTGACTGGAGTATCTTCAAGTACAAATTCCTTCAGACCCCAGAAAGTCTGTTCCTTTTTGTAGTAAAATGAACTTTCAAAGGTTTCCCAAGCCACTTCTCATGATACAGTGAATATTCAAAAGACAGCTACATTTGAAGCCTGTACAAAAGCTTATCCCTGGAACACATGTGCCATAATATACAAACTTCTACTTTTGTCAGTCCTTAATATCTACCTTTCTGAATTTTCATGAATTTCTGTTTCACAAGGGTAATTGTTTTGTATACACTGGCAGTGGCATACAATGAAACTTAGTATCCAAGATTTTTTTGTATTAAAGAAAGAGATGTGTAGTAATGGGAAGAGGTCTAAAATGTGGTTAATATTGTGAGAAACAAAACAGCTTTACATTTTCTAAACTTTGATGAGAATGTCATTAAATAGGAAGCTATGTGATACATGAGTGGACATTTTAATCTAAATATTAATATGTATGGTAACTCAGTTAATGACTTAGCATGTTTTCCTTTAAAATTTTTGTAGAAAACAGAATCTTGGCATTGTCTTCCTCAAGAAATGGACCCTTCCCAAACCTTGGATACATCCCAGACCAGGTTTAATGTGAGAAGAGAAGATACTGAAGTGTCAGACTTCCCCTCTCTGGAGGAGGGTGTATTGACCCAATCAGAAAATCAAGTAAAGGAACCCAACAGAGATCTCTTCTGTTCTCCTTTGCTAGGTAATGCCTCTTTATTTTAACTAGTAGTAATACCTCACATTTGTAAGTTTTGCGGGGACCGCAAGTGTTAACTTTACCCTTTTTGAGTGAAGGAGCTCTGTAGAGACCTACTCAAAGGGGTAAGCTTATTTCTGTTTTTTTAGTTTGTTTGTTTTTGTTTTTTTTACTGGTTAGCTGATCTAGTTATATTAAGTGTGCAGTTGCCTCTCATTTTGTCACATCCTGTTGCTCACAGAAGGCAGAAAGGTGATAACTGTCTACTGTGTGTACCTCCTCAGTCTTGAATTTGCAGAGTTTTTGGGATGAATAATATATTATACTTTGGTTCTCTCAGCAGTGGAGACTCCATGATCCCCCCCAAAAAAAACAAAAAACAAATGTTCATATTTACCTTTTTTGATTTTTAGAATTAATTAAGGCATGTGTTATTATCCTCAGCTTTCAAACCAAAAGTTGACATAAAGAGGAGTGGCTTGTCTGAGGTAGATCTTGCTGCTTTCCTCATAGAACTGATTTATTAGCTCTTTATAAAAGATAAACTTTAAGTACTTTTAAAACCATTAAGGGATTCAATCATGAAGATGGTTTTATAGTTTTGTAAAGAAGCATGAATAGGACTTAATTCAGCAAGTTATTTGCAAACATAAACTAATGCTATCCAAATCAAGATATTAGTGCCAACATATTCTATGATGTGAATTATTAAAGTCAATTTTAGGTCCACATTTTAAGAAGGACGTTGACAAAATTAGAGTACCTTTGTGGGAGGAGATGACTATCTTTTGATAGACAAAAGAGAAGACTTTGCTATGGTCAAATATTTGAAGGGCTGTTATGCTAAAGAGGAAGCAACTTAGTTTTTATTCATTCATGTAACAAATATCTAAGTGCCTCCTGTGTGTTTGATGCTAGGGATATAAAGATGAAAGCTACCTCCTCTTGTGGGAAGGCAATCCAGTAAACAGAAAATAACAGTACCATGGGATTTGTATTATAATGGTGTAGAGCAGGATCTGCAAACTATAGCTTATAGGCCAAGTCTTGATTTTGTACCTTCCATCTGCTAAGAATGATTTTTGCATTTTTAAAGGATTGTAAAAACAAACAACCACAGTATATGTGACAGATTATATATGACCAACAAAACCGAAAATATTTACCATCTGACCTTTCATAAAAAAATGTTTGCTAACTCCTGGTCTAGAGTTTAAAATGAATACATAACTTAAAGGGAAACTGTTTTTCAAATTGATATAAAAAAGAACTTTCTAATAGTCAAAACGATTTAATAGTAGAAAAGGCTATATAACGACAACAAAAAGTGAGCTTCATGTCACTGCAAAATGTCTAGCAAAATTCTGTATTAGGATTTTAGCACTGGGGAGGAGATTGTACTTTGTGACCTAAAATGTTTTCTAATATAAAGTTTTGTAACTCTGGCTTCTCATTTACTATAGATGGGGCAGAACATTTTAAATTATTGGAGTAGGTTCCTGAATCTGATAGGCAGAGGAAATTTTATCATTGCTGTTTTGTTATGCATAAGTACTAACTGTGATAATTAGGCTTTCACCAATGGCAAATGTCATTGATGATGACTGGTGCCAGAATGGTTAGATACCTCAAAAAAAAAGGGATCCAAGCTAGTAACAGATGTCCATACTTGAGGAAACAAGAAGCGGTTGAAAGCTGAAAGAAAAAGGCATGGCAAGTAACATACACCACCTTCCCATCTCACACACACACACAAATAATGTTGTACACTTGAGAATCATTAACTCTTCAGCTTTGGCCTGCTCCTTTAGCAAATACTTTTTCCGATTTACCTGATTTAACTGTCCAACTCCACCCTGAAATATTCTTAAATATTTAAGAAGATGCTGAAATGCTGCTTATAACTTACTTGTTACTTACTATTCCTTACTCATACCTAAATAGCTATTTTAGGTACTGAGGATTTCTGTGGGTTCTGAAACCTGGTTAGGGATATCTCTAATTTTGTTTTAGAAAAGACTCTCAGGTTCTTTAAATACGCAGCCTACAGTTAACTGGAAATAGTAAATTTGCTTTACTTGCCCAAAGGTCCCCCTTATAGCATTAGCTCTAGTGTATTTGGGGACTTTGTTAGAAACTCTTCATGATTTTTAGAGGGGTGAAGGACTGTTATGGAGGTTTAAAACTGCTTCTCTGTGCCAAGGCCAAAGAGGAACTATACCAATTGTTCCTTGGTGGCAAAAGTTGTTATTATATATCAGTTTCTCACTTTAATTCATTCAGTAAGTAAATAACTCTCTTTTGAGTACCTATTAAGTGTAGCAGGTACTTTGCTAGGCACTGAGGTTATAGCTATGGATAAAGTAGACACAGTTGACAGTTTATATGGGAAGTGGATCGACGAAAGATTAAAACAAGAGGGTGATGAATTATATGGAAGGTGTGCAGGGTATATGAGCAGTGACAGTACGCGTTTTGACCAAGTGAAGGACAGATGACAACATGGTGAGCTCTGTGAACTCTAGGTTTTCGGTAATTTCAGAACAGGGGGAACAGTGGTGTGAGAGAGGAGTCCTCACTTTGTACACAGTGTTACAGGCATTCTGAAATCAAGAGAGTATACTGATTAAAATAAGAATGATTTAAGTCAACATTCAGGAAATCACAATTTTTTTAAAAATTTTTTTCATTAAAGCAGCAGTTCAAACTTTTTGGGTAACAGGATTCTTTTATGCATTTAAAAATCACTGACAACTCCAAAGAGCTTTTGTTTATTTGGGTTATTGATATTTCCCATATTAGAAATTAAAACTGAAACATTTAAAATTTATTAATTCATTGAAAAAGTATATATTTTATAAAACATAACTTTTCTAATACAAAAATGTTTAGCAATATGGTCATGTTTTACTTAAACAATTCTATAATGTCTGACATAATAGAAGACAGCAAAATTCTCATGTCTTGTTTCTGTATTCAGTCTGTTGCCGTATCATACATTCTGTAGCTTCTGGAAAATGTCACTGTATCTTTTTGAGAGAATGGGAGTGAATAAGGCAAATGATATCTTAATATTATTTTGAATAAAATTTCAACAGTAGGTACCTCCTAAGAGTGTCTTAGGGCCGAGGAGCCCCTGTGCTATACTTTGACATAACAGGTGTAGTCTGTATTATGTAAGATGGGAAAAAACACTAATAATAGTTAAGAACATTTGCTAAAAGTTGAAATGCTTGGGTTCAAATCTCACTGTGGCATTTCAACTACTTGAATGCAGACAAGTTACTTAATGCTTTGTAAGTTTTGTAATCATGTTTCCTCACCGATAAGATATGTATAATAATACCTATCTTTCAAGGTTGTCATGAGGATTAAATGAAATATTGTGTGTTAAGCACCTCGACTTTGTCAGGCTCTCAATAAATGGTAGCTGCTACTGCTGTTGCTTTTATATTATTATTCTAATGCTTGTAGAATTCTCCATATGGCAGCATATGTAGGTGCTTTAAAGTATTACATACGTAAGTAAATAATCAATTTTCAGCATTACTCAGCATTTTTATATTTGAAACTTTGCAGTCGTACAAGATAGCTTTGCTTCTCCTGATTTGCCTTTGCTGACCTGTTTGACACAAGACCAAGAATTTGCGTCTGATTCTTTATTTCATCAAAGTGAACTAAGTTTTGCACCTCTGAGGTAGGATGATTTATTTGCATGTAACCTTTCTCCTTTCTTGTTCTATGTTGTTACTAATATTAGTGACTTCACGCTAAGGTGGTACTTTGAGGTGGGGCTTAGATACTCTTAGGACACACTCTGAAGGTAACAAAGTCCTGTACTAAGACTTGATGCATATTAATTTGGCAGAGTAACGTGTAGAGATGAACTAGACGACAGTAGTTTATTTAAAAATAATTCCTAATGTATTCAGGCATTTCAGGTATATTTTAATTTAGAAGACACACTGGATTTTCCTTCTCATAAACCTCCCCATCTGCTGCTCATCATCTCTCTCCTCCCTGTCACCCTTATTCTGCAAAAAGCATTTATTTCTAGGTCACTAACTTGTTTGGCACTCTCATTTTGTTCAGCTGTTATTGAATGAGACTAGTTAGCTCTCCTTACCTTATAGGAGATGTGAGTATGAAGTAAGAAGATTTTTATGAACAGACTTATCCAAATTAACAGATACTCCAAATTCATGTCCTTTAGAATAGTCATAATGGGAGAAAAGTCTGGAATTTTCAAAACATATTTGGAATTATTCAAGAATATGTTTTCCTCTTCTAGAACTGAAAAGAAAACCCACCTTAAATTAAAAACTATAGATGTTTAGAAAGTAAAAAGTAACCTCTATCCTTATATATTACCTTATATCACTTTTATGAAAAGTGATCTGTACACATTTTTAGATCATCAACTAATGATTAAGTTACTGTTGTGTTTTGGGAATAGATCACTTCTTCAGTGGTTTCTTTCTCTCTCTCTTTTTTTTTAATCTATCTAGATGGAGTCTTGCTCTGTTGCCCAGGCTGGAGTGCAGTGCTGCCATCATGGCTCACTGTAACCTCTAACTTCTAGGCTCAAGCAATCCTCCTGCCTTAGCCTTCACAATAGCTAGTACTACAGGCATGTGCCACCATGCCCAGCCAATTTTTAATTTTTTTGTAGAGATAGGGTCTTGCCATATTGCCACGGCTTGTCTGGAACTCCTGGGCTTCAGGTGATCCAAAGTGCTAGGATCACATGTGTGAGCCATTGTGCCTGGCCTTGCATAGTTTTCAAGAGCACAATAAATGACGACTAGTAAAAAAATTAATGCAGGTTAAATGAAAAATCATGGTGGGCATCATTATGAAAATCACATTCTGTGTCTATTGTTTTAGGAGAAGCCTGAGATAACATCAGGGTTGTAGGGTGGTAGTTCACCTTTTGGTTAAAAAGAATTTTTTTGTTCAGTCATTAACCATCTTAAAGGAGTCTGAAATTAGGAGAGCTTTGTTTTTCAATGCACTTTTCAAATAAACTTGATTTTAGTGACATATGTATTTTCGTATTAGTACTTAAAAATTAAATGTTTTTAATGTGTTATTTATTTATTTTTAACTGTATATTTTCAGGGGAATTCCTGATAAGTCTGAAGATACTGAATGGTCTTCTCGACCATCGGAAGTTAGTGAAGCTTTATTCCAGGCTACTGCAGAAGTAGCTTCAGACTTAGCAAGCAGTTGCTTTAGTGTATCTCAGCACCCACTTATAGGGAGCACAACTGTTGGGTCTCAGTGCCCTTTTTTACCTTCTGAACAAGGGAATAATGAAGAGACTACTTCGTCTGTTGATGAACTGAAAATTCCCAAAGACTGTGATAGTTATGATGATCTTTGTTCATATATGTCATGGAAGACACGAAAAGATACACAGCAGCCTGAAACCAATTTAGCTGATAAAGATCAAGTTTCAGTTACAAGTTTATCTGACATAACCGATGAAAACATAGCTACTGAAAGAAGTGACCATTTTGATGCTGCGTATTCATATGGGCAGTATTGGAAACAGGAAGCTTCACCTAAGCAGGCAGAAACATATTTAACCAGTAAGTACCCTGATTCTTTTTCAGATTCATCTGACACAATTGATAAAAATAAAATTTCCAAGGGAAGTTACAGTTTTAGTGTCCCCTTTTCCTATGTGCCATGGAACAAAGAGGGAACTTTGCACCACCCAGAAACATGTGTAATCAGTAAGGACTGTGTTTCCTTTCCATGTGAAGTTGCTGCTCATTATAATAATAAAATGTCATATTCTTTCTTGTGTTGTTTGTTGGAAAGAAGAGGAAAAGGGGTTCCCTTGACTTCTGATAGTCATTATTTTGAGAATGTTTATTTAAGGGCTCCAGCTGAGATTGAGGTGAAACAAAAGACGGATTCTTTGGAGGGTTATGAAGGAAATGAAGAAGGTTTACAGAAAGAATCATCTCAATGTTTTGAACTAACAGAGACTAGAAATAATTTATCTTCAGAAGTACAACCCAGATCCTCAGGAATAAAGTGTATTAGGAATGTTATAGCTCCTGATAATTCTGTAAAAGTTTCAGAAACACATGTACTCTCCAGGGAACATGATACCTCTAAAATGGAGGCTTCTGGTGGTCCTCTTCAGACTGTTATATCCAACTTGGATGAGACATCAGAACAACTGTATTTTCAAGAGGAAAGAAACCAAAAGGGAACTTCTCTTTTTGGTGAGAAAAACATTGATGCTACTGAAAATATAGCCTTTGAGGCAGTTATTGCCTCTATTGAGCCTTCTAAGAAAGAGAGTACAGTAAATGACATCCAAGCTGACATCAATAAATATTTAACAGATGACAGCCAAGAGAGAGAACCAAAAAATCCAGATCTTTCTCTATTAAATTATAAAGATGAAAACTCTTTATTTGATAGGCTTAAACATACATGCTATCAGTCTACTGCTGGGGTGTTTGAACCAGCAGCTTCAAAACCATTGTTGCATAGAAAGGATGATAATGATAGCTTCCTATACTGGCATCCAAATTTAAAATCACCCCCTAATGCTGTTCAGAAAATGTTCATTAAGCCACTTTGTGTTATTCCAGAGCTTAAGTCATCTGCTTCTTTGAGTGAAAAATCTTGCAACCAGACTGTTGGTCTTGGCAAAACACAGTCCACTTTATTTCAGTGTGATATAAGCAATGAACCATTTCTTCCCTTTGGGAAGATAAAGTCTGTTCCTTCTCTTGACCTTGCAGAGAAGGTAGGATCTTCAGATGTTATTTATCATGTGAAAGTATTAACTTCAGATTCTTTGGTTTTACAAGATTTAAAGCAGCCAACCTTTGAAGAAGTTGCAGATTACTCAGACTTTAATTTGGGTAAGGATGTTAACTATAGTAATACCATTAAAGGTCCACCTGCAGCTATAGGAAGCAGCTTTTCAGCAAACTTGGTGGCATGTGATGCAAAGTCACAAGGTGCTTTTACCATTGACCAGTGATGCATCATTAATTGCAGTCGCCCAAGAGACATTGCTGAAAGCTGATATAGGCCAAGGTGAAATTCCTTGGCCTGTGGGAGCTGAGTCTAGTTTTACTATACATACAATTATGCAAAATGACTCCTATTTTGTAGAGGGCCTGCAGGGGAAGGCTGAGTCTGACATCATTACTCTGGATGGCCTAAATGAAAACGCTGTTGTGTGCAGTGAAAGAATTACTGAACTACAAAGAAAGGTGAGACACAATAAAATGATAGTTGTAAGAAACATGGCCTTTTTCAGTATTGTTTCAGGAAATGGTATTGTTTGTGTTTATTTTACTTTTTACTGTTTCCTGGGTACATGACCAATGTGATTTGACTGGTGAGTACGTTGAGCTAGCAGCTTTAGAGAATTTTCATGATGATCTAGAGATGCATGACAGTTCCCTGCACTGGCAGCCTACTTTACAACTACCATCTGAGAAGGAAAGCAATTTTGAAAAGCCCGTAAGTTTTTCTATTTGACATTTTTTCTGGGCGGGGAGAGGAATATTTTATTTGAAAAAATTTCAAATTTTATTTGAAAATATTTTATTTGAAAAATTATATCTTTCATTACCAGCTTGTAACTTGTACCTGTTCTTTATCTGATATCCAGGAATATGTTCCATTAGAGGTTGGTATAAAAGAAATGTTTATGTTTCGTAGACTGTAAGACTTAGTTCTGGGGTGTCTTGGAAAAGGCCATCCCCTGGGGCTCCAGGCCTTTCATACTGAGGCAGCCTAACTCTTCCTAGTTGTGTCAGCAATAGTCTTTAGACAGTGTTAAGATTAGAGTTATTCATGGGAACATTCAGAAGCTTGTACTTTGAATGTTTCCCTCTGGTCTTCAATGTACAAGCCTTGAAACAGTCCCTGGAATATTTAAGTATTTCTTTTTAGAAGCTCCTGAAAGACTTGACTTCAGAGGTGTCTTGAAAGTTTTAAGACCCATATTTGACCAGGAAGGATAATGAAGTGCTTAATGTCCAAACTGGCCAGTGCCTCTCCAAAGGGAAGTATCTCCTTCCCAAATGAGCAACACACTAATGTATATACATGTCCCCTTCCCTCTCCCTATTTATGTCATTATTACCATTGTGTGTATACTAGAAACTGGCAACTCTAAGGTGTCATAAAAATTTTATGTCAGCCTTTTTTTTTTTTTTTTTTAAGTTCTGGTGCACGTGTGTAGAACGTGCAGGTTTGTTACATAGGTGTACACGTGCCATGGTGGTTTGCTGTACCCATGAACCTGTCATCTACATTAGGTATTTCTCCTAATGCTATCCCTCCCCTAACCCCCTACCCGCAGACAGGCCCCAGTGTGTGATGTTCCCCTCCCTGTGTCATTCTTTTATAGAAGGCTTTTATTTGCTTGGATCTTTGGATCCCTTGGCATTAATGTTCCTCTGGTCCTGTTGAATGAATATCCTCTTTTGTTGTCTGGTACTGTAAGTCCCAAGGTGGGCCCTACTTCCTTGTGATATATCCTCATATCCTGTTATTAAATACAGTTAGATAAAATAGTGGTGTACTTAATGTTATTTCTCTTTTCCTGTTTTCCTATGTATAAGATTGGTATATTTTTGTAAAGCTCTATTAGTTTGGGTTACACCCACATTTAGACCTTTAGGTTCAGATTGTTGGTAGAAAATGAACAAAGATACTATGATGAATTTTTATTTATAATTTATTACATTTATTAAAATTTTTTTTAACACAGAATCACTAGGTTAGTTTTATTTTCTTCAGTATTCTAAACTAGGCATTCTTTAATTTTAATCTGATAACAGTGGGGATGAAAATGATAGTTAACACGTTGTGCTCAAGTACTGTGCTAAGAGGTTACATGTATGTATCAGTTCATTTTTGTCCTCTGTCAATTCTGTCAAATAGAATTGTTAGAGATTATTATCATCCCTATTTTACTATTGAGACTTAGAGGATTTAAGAACTTGCTTATCATTATTCAGCAATTGGGGGAACCAGTGTTTGAAACTAACCATGTCTATGTACTTAACCACCATACCATAAACTGTCCCCCATCCCCCTACCCCAGAATTTTAACTATTCTTGATGAAACTAAGGTTAAGATTTTTGCGTTATTTTGGCAAGAGTAGAGGTTTTGAAGGAGATTGCCTAAAGTTGCATTCAATAACAATGAGAAACAAAGTAACAACTCTTAAAGTGTTCTAAGTTTTTAATACTACTTTTGTGACTTATATCAACCTTTCGTGTAGATAAAATGTATTTTAAAAATAAAGATATATAGATTCAGTTAATGTGCAGAGACTAGCTTTGACCACTGCTCCAAATTTTAATCTGTCCTTAAGTATAGCCTGAAGTATAATCTTTCAATCTAAGGAAGATGCTATTATTCCCTATATTGTCTTTCAGTTGTAGCTCTATCTGTCTTAGTCTTAGATCTAGGAGTTATTTAATGTCAGTATCAGAAAAGCAAGGAGCCAGATGTGGTAGTACTTTTTCTGTGTGGCTTAGCTTGCTTTCAGGGGCTTGCTTACTCCTTAGTTGCTTCCTTACACTCCTCATCTTTGTCACAGAAGAGTCATTCATACTTACTTGGTTCACTTTTATATCTACTCATCATAAATGATTATTTGGGTATCCACGTATGTATGATGCAGCTCGGAACTGTGAAAAGAACAGAGATTTGGAGTCAAAATCCAGTTCAGTTACTTTGTTAGCCTTGTGTCTTGAGCAAATGACTTTGGAGGATCACTTTCCTGATCTGCATAAGGAAATAGGAATAGTAATAATCAACCTCATATATTGTACTATTAAATGGGGTAAGTTATATAGCATTTATATAGTTCCTGGTTGTTAGTTCTCTTCACTTAGCTGAAACGAGACTATTAGAGTCTCTGGTGGTTTCCTGCTTTCTATTGTTATTTTGTTTTTCTTTCTCCTTGTTCTTGGTAGCAGCACATAATTAATATGCTTTTTTTTTTTTGAGACAGAGTTTCGCTCTTGTCATCCAGGCTGGAGTGCAATGGCACGATCTCAGCTCACTGCACCCTCTGCCTCCTAGGTTTAAGCAGTTCTCCTGCGGCAGCCTCCCAGGTAGCTGGGATTACGGGCGCCTGCCACCATGCCTGAATAATTTTTTGTATTTTTAGTAGAGATGGGGTTTCACCATGTTGGCCAGGCTAGTCTCAAACTCCTGATCTCAGGTGATCCACCTGTCTCGGCCTCCGAAAGTGCTGGGATTACAGGTGTGAGCCACCGCGCCAGGCCTAATATGCTATTTTAGTACCTCTTGTTTTGGCCATTTAACTCTAAAAATTATTTAAGATTTAAGCCTTAGATTTCTTTCCTCTTCTTACCCCCCTACCTTTGGAGACCTAGTTGCCTATCTCTGTGTGGATGATTATCACCTCTGTTTTTATACCCTGATATTTGTCTAATTTATTTTGCATGTTTTCTTGTGAACATTGTCATCACCCCAAATTCAACTTGCCCTATAGCAAAATAACTCATATTTTTCCTAAAATTAGACTCACTTGTATAGTTTCTGAGTTTTTATGAAAGGTATTAGTATTTTTCTGGTTTCTTGGTCATCTTTCATTCTTTCTTCATTGTTGATTAAACATTGGGAAGATAAACTAATCTTGATTTCTTTTTCTTCTGGTTCTTTCCATTTTCAGTTAGCAATGAAGATCTGCTGGTTTCTTAAATAAATACTTCTCATATTTTTCATTTTACGTTTTCTTTTGTATTACCTACTTTTTCTTTTTTTTGAGACAGAGTCTTCTGCTGTTGCCCAGACTGGAGTGCAGTGGCGTGATCTCAGCTCACTGCAAGCTCCACCTCCTGGGTTCACGCCATTCTCCTGCCTCAGCCTCCTGCGTAGCTTGAACTACAGGTGCCCGCCACCATGCCCAGCTAATTTTTTGGATTTTTAGTAGAGACGGGTTTTCACTGTGTTAACCAGGATAGTCTCGATCTCCTGACCTCGTGATCTGCCCGCTTCCACCTCCCAAAGTGCTGGGATTACAGGTGTGAGCCACCGTAACTGGCCGGTATTACCTACTTTAATAGTTCTGTATTTTGAAACTTTAACATATTGAAATTTTTTTGACGTCAAGCTTGCAATCAAAATATTTCTTTATTTCTGTGTTTGAAAGCTGTAGAAGAAAAACTGCTATAAACTATAAACACACTCTCTCACAAGTGTCTATATATTATGTATGGTCATGCCACATTGTGATGGTTAATTGCAGACTGCATATATGATGGTAGTCCCATAAGATTAAAATACTGTATTTTTACTGTACCTTTCCTGTGTTTAGATATGTTTAGATACACAAATACCGTTGTTTTACAGTTGCCTACAGTATTTAGAACAGTAACATGCTGAAAGGTTTGTAGCCTGGAAGCAGTAGGCTAGACCACTAGCCTAGGTGCGTAGTAGGCTACACAGTAGTAGGTTTGTGTATGTCACTCTGTGATGTTTGCACAACAACAAAATTGCCTAACAACACATTTCTCAGAACATATCCACATCATTAAGTGATACATGACTGCATATTTTATATATATGCATATATCTTTATGTATATGTATGTGTATTTATATATGTGTGTATATATATATAGGCTGTACTTCAAAAAAGTTTCCTGTAGGAGTGAGGTAATTGAAAACTGGGAACTTTGTGCTATGTGGAGAACAGGGCTTCTTAGCAGCATTATCATTTTGAGTTGGATAATTTTTTGTTATGGTGGGAGGCGTGTTTCCTGCTTATTGTAGAATGTTTTGCAGAGTCCATCCCTGGCCTCTATTCACTAGATACTAGTAACATCCTCTCCCATCACAAGTTATGACAGCAAAAAATGTTTCCAGGCATTGTCAAATGTCCCTTGATGGGTACAAAATCTTCACCAGTCGAAAAGCACTGGTCTAGAGAAACCTGTATGGGCCGTAGATGTAGATATAGAAATAGATATGGAATATTCATTTCCACACTTCACACGGCTTCCTAAGAATGTTCATTACTACACAATGAAAAATTGATGAAAGAGGATAGAAAAATTCATGCTTGTATACATTTTTAGACTTCATCCTGAGAAGATATGACTGAAATAATCTTTTTAGGGAAATAAAGACAACCTAAAATTGATATATATTTTTATGTGAGGGTGCACTGTGAATTTGGTGAAAAGTTGTACATGTTTAGGTATTAATGTCACCAATATTGGTTTCTAATTTCTTTTCTAGCAAGGACTTGTGACCTGATGAAACATTAGGAACTTATTTTTGAGCAGTTAACCTTTACTTCACTACCAATTTATAGTCTCCATTACTTTTGTTTTAAGAAGTTTGAGGACTTATGGTTGTTGGCAACTGATCACAGTTATAGTTCTTTGATACTCTCATTTTCCTTCTAAACATTTGTGAGTTTCTAGAAAACATTCCTGTTTCTTTTTCCTTCTTACTCTTTCTTGCCCACAGTGCACCTCTCTACCTTAAAAAGAAATACCTGAGATTGTCAAGAATAATCCCATGGTTCAAATTCTGCAATGATCATAAGGCGCAAACTTCTGAGTAACAACACTTCTAGGCATACTATCTATAATATTTTATGTAAACAGATTTCTAAGCCCTCAGGATGATTTATAGAGTCTTCTCAGAGTTGACCCAACAAGATATGACCTATATATGAATTCAGAAGGTTTGAGATTATGATCTTAAGTAACTAGTGTAACTTCTCAGTGTTCATCTTTATAAAAATGAGGGATTATTTTTAGCAGATGAAGTTTGAAATTAATATCTTATTTCCTTCATTTCTTCATAGGTGGGTCATTCTAATCTGGGCATTAATGAGTCTTTTTCATTTTTATTGCCTTCATTTGTTCCACATAAGCTAACAAGAGAGTCGGAATATCACTCTTCAGATCTCAGAATGTTAAGAATGTCTCCTGACACTGTGCCAAAGGCTCCTAAACATTTAAAAGCAGGTATGTAGAAAAAGGAGATGGTAAATGTCCTACTTATGGATACCTTGTGAAAAAAATATTTTATTAGGTCTAATTTTTTTATTTTTTAATATCTGTAATAATTATACTTCAGATTAGATGTGTTTAGAAATCCTGTCTTAGTCTCTTCAGACTGCTATTACAAAAATATCTTAATACTTTAACTGTGGCTTATAAACAACAGAAATTTGTTTCTTGCAGTTCTAGAGGCTGGCAATTCCAAGATCAAGTGCTGGCAGATTCCGTGTCTTCTGAGGGACTGTTTGCCATAGATGACGTGTTCCTCTGTGCCCTGTTGTGGTGGAAGGGGCAAGGGGTTTCTCTGGAATCATTTTTATAATGGGCACTAATCCCAAACATGAGGCCTGTGTCCTCATGATCTAATTACTTCCCAAAAGCCCTGCCTCCTAATTTCATCACCTTGGGGATTAGGATTTCAACCTGTACTTTTCAGGGGGGCCACAAACATTCAGACCATCACAAATCCGCTGATCTTTTATTAGAGGAGTCATTTGATTTTTCATTGCATTCTACATGACAATATTTAGAACTGAATTATATGGAGGAGTCTGATGTTAGAATCTGTTTATTCCTTTGTGTGACTTGAAGGGAAAAAGGAATTGATTGAGCCCAAGATGACAAGAGTGGATGCAAATAAGTTTGTAGAGAGGAAATTGAGAGAAATCAGTTTTGAGGTAAAAGCAAGATTATCTGCTGAGGGAGGTGAGTAGTAGTGGAAGTAGGTTAGGGGCTTTGAGGAGAGTGGTTTGGTGAAGACTTATAGTTCGTGTTGAAGTGAATTTGAGATGGAGCTGACCAAGGGAAAGTAAAAGGATTGGAGGGCAATTCTGAGAAGTCAGCTCAGGTTAGTGATAATGATTTTATAATGTTGTCAGCCTGTACAGAATCTCTGATTTATTTTTCCTGCTAACACTCACGAATGGAGATGATGAATTACAGTATCGATCCTTGGTTCAGGAATACATTGAATGGGTATGGTAGAAGGACAGCAGGCAAAGAGAGAAGAGTTGATCACCTATTGGTTTCAGCTTACATAGGGAAAGAGAAGCCAGAAGAGTTGTTATTCTAGGAGAAAATAGAAGGACCAGAGATTTGTTTATGATGTTGATTAGATGAGGTGGGAATAAGTTATTGAGAGCACTAGAAGAATAGGCAATTTTTGGTTAGATTGAATAAGTAGATTTAAATGAGGAACAGTTTGAAGAGTGATGAAATCCATTAAATAGCCCTGGGATTGGATGGTAGAAATTGAATAATAATTACTGGAGTAAATAAAATTTTGGGTCAGGTACAGTGTCTCAAGCTTGTAATCTCAGTACTTTGGGAGACTGAGGTGGCAGGTTCACTTGGAAGAGTTTGGAAAGGATTGGTATTAACTGTTTTTGAATAGAAATTACTGTGAAACTACCTGGGCTGTTCTTGTAGGAAGTTTTTAAATTACTAATTTCATCTCTTTCCTTGCCATAAGTCTATTTAGATTTTACATTTTTCATGAATCAGCCTTTGCAATTTGTGTCTTAAATAGAACTTGTCCATTTAGCTAGGCTGTCTGTTACATATATCTGTTCATAGTATTCCCATGTAATCCCTTTCATGTCAGTAAGGTTAGCTACAATGCCCTCTCTTTCATTCCTGATTTTAGTAACTTAAGTTTTCCCCTTCTTTTTTTCTCCCTTTGGTGAATCTAGTTAAATTTTGTCAATTTTGCTGATTTTTTCAAATAAGCTGGTTTATTTTTTCTAATCTTTATTTTTCTTTTCTGATTTTTGTTTCATTTTTTTTCATTCTAGTCATTATTTTTCCTTCATTCCGTTTGCTTTGGGTTTAGTTTGCGCTTTTTTTCTGTTTTTTTAAGGTGTACAGTTAGGTTATTGATTTAAGCTCTTTCTTATTATTATTACAAGTATGTGTAAAAATTGATAAATTCCTAACCACTGTGTTAGCTGCATGCCCGAAGTTTTGGCTTATTATATTTTTGTTTTAGTTCATCTAAACTTATTTTCTAGTTTACATTGTGATTTTTCTGCATTTACCCTTTGGTTATTTAGGAATGTGTTGTTTAATTTCCTTCTGTTACTGTGTTTCACCTGAGTCCATTTTGGTTGGAAAACATACTTTGTATGATTTGTCTTTTTAAGTTTTATTGAGGCTTATTTTATGTTTTAACATGTAGTTTATTCTGTAGAATGTACAGTTTGTACTTGAGAAGAATGTGTATTCTGCTGTTGTTAGGTGGTGTGTTCTATAGATGTCTCTCAGCTCTATTGGGTTGGGTTTAGGTGTTCAAGTCTTCTGTTTCCTTGTTGGTCTTCTGACTGTTTTCTCCATTTTCAAAAGGAGGGTATTGAAGTCTTCAACTCTTATTGTTTGTCTTTCTCCCTTTTTTTCTCTCAGATTTGCTTCACATATTTTGACATTATGATGTTAGATCCATGTATTTTTATAATTGTTATATATTCCTGATGAATTGACCTTTTTTTTTTTTTGGAGACAGTCTTGTTCTTTTGCCCAGGCTGAAATGCAGTGCATGGCTTACTGCAACCTCTGCCTCCTGGGTTCCAGTGACTCTTGTGCCTCAGCCTCCTGAGTAGCTGGGACTGTAGGCGTGTGCCATCACGTCCAACTAATTAGAATTGACCTTTTAATTGTTATAAATTGTTCCTCCTTATTCCGAGTAACTTTTTTTTTGTTTTAAAGTCTGTTTGTCTTAGGTTAGAATAACACTTCAGCTCTTATGGTTGCTGTTTGTATGGTTTATCTTTTAAAATCACTCTACTTTCAACCTATTTGTATTTTTTAAATAAAAAATGATGTATCTGCTGTAAAGAGCATATAGTTAAATCTTGGGTTTTTAATTATAAAATTCTATCTAATTATTTTTGCCTTGTGATATGATTATTTAATCTGTTTGCATTTAATGTCATTATTGATGTGATTGGATTCACATTTTCTGGCTTACATTTGGTTTTTCATGTGTCTTGTGTCTTTTTTCTTCTCTGTTCCTCTTTAATTATTGCATGAAGTGAATATTTTCTAGTATGACACTTTCAGTTTAATTTTTTAAGTGATTTTCTAGGTGGTTTTTTTTTTTTAGTTATATTCTTGGTGGTTACTCTGGGGCTTATAATATTTATCTTATCAGAATATACTTCTGATTTATACTAACTTAATTCTAGTGTGATACAGAAACTTTACTCCTATATAGCTCTATTCCCTCTTTTTTTTTTGGTGTCATTATTATACATACTACTCACACACATGTATAAATGCCTTTAAGTTTTTGTTTGTTTTTTGTTTTGTTTTTTTTTTAGTTGGGGACTTGCTCCGTTGCCCAGGTTGGATTGCAGTGGCATGATCATAGCTCACTCTAACCTGGGCTCAAGTGATCCTCCTGCCTCAGTCTCCTCTGTCGTGAGGACCATAGGTGTGTACCACTACACTGAGCTAATTTTTCAAAAAAATTTTTTTGTAGAGATGGGATCTCACTACATTATTGGTCTCGAATTCCTGGGCTCAAGCAGTCCTCCGACCTTGGCCTCTCAAAGTGCTGGGATTATACATGTAAGCCACCATGCCCAGCTGCTTTATGTATTTTCAAATTGCTTTTAAAATCAGTTAAGAGAATACAGGAAATGAAGCATATCTTTTTGTAGTTACCAATGTAATTATTTTTACTAGCACTATTTGTTTTGTTATGAAAATGTTACTACTATCTGGTGTTACTTGTTTTTCAGCCTTTGGAACTTTCTATATTCTTGTAAGGTGGATCTGCAAGTTCCCTGTTTTTGTGTATCTGGCATGTTTTTATTTCATCTTTTTGAGAGATAGTTTTGCTGGGGTTGGAATTCTTGGTTGACAGTCTTTTTCTTTTTCTTTTTTTTTTTTTTTTTGAGACAGAGTCTCGCTCTGTCGCCCAGGCTGGAGTGCAGTGGCCGGATCTCAGCTCACTGCAAGCTCCGCCTTCCGGGTTTACGCCATTCTCCTGCCTCAGCCTCCCGAGCAGCTGGGACTACAGGCGCCCGCCACCTCGCCCGGCTAATTTTTTGTATTTTTTGTAGAGACGGGGTTTCACCGGGTTATCCAGGATGGTCTCGATCTCCTGACCTTGTGATCCACCCGTCTCGGCCTCCCAAAGTGCTGGGATTACAGGCTTGAGCCACTGCGCCCGGCCAACAGTCTTTTTCTTTTCAGCACTTTGAATATGCCTCTTCACTATCTTCTGGCCTCCATAGTTTTGGATGAGAAGTCAGCTATTATCTTATTCATGTTCTCTCGTATGTAATTTGTTTTCTCTTGTTGCTTCCAAGATACATTCTTTGTCTTTCACTTCAGTATCTTGGTTATAATATATCTCCCTGTGGATCTCTGTGCTTATTCTACTTTGAGCTCACTGAACTTGTCAGATGTATAGTTAATATCTTTTATCTAATTTGGGAAGTTTTCAGCCATCATTTCTTTGAGGATTTTTTCTGCTTCTTTCTCATTTTTCCCCAGTTATCATCTCTTGCATCGCAATCCACATATATCAGCACCCTTAATCTTGTCTCACTGGTCTCTAAGCCTTTGTTTGTTTTTCTTCATTCTTTTTTCTGTCTTTTCTTCAGTTTGCATAATCTCTATTCATTTATCTTGATGTTTGCTGATTTTTTTCTTCTATCTGTCCATATCTACTGTTGAGCCTCTAGTGAATTTTTCACTTCAGTTACTGTACTTTTCAGCCTTAGAATTTCCATTTTGTTATTTTCTAGGTTCTGTCTTTTATTCTGTATTTGATGTGACTTTGCTGTCATACCTACCTTTAATTCTTTAAGCATACATTTCTTCCCTTTGAACATGTTTATAATAGCTGCTTTTAATTGTTAGTGGCTAAGCCCAATGCGTGGGCCCTCTGAAAGGCAGATTTGCCTATTTTGTTCCCCCTGTGAAGAGGTCACACTTACTTTTGCACGTCTTACTTTTCT